ACAGGAGAGCTCACCTCAACAGAAACAGCATTTGGAGTTCTGTTCTCTACTTTGTGACTTTGTGGACTGAACTGTATATGTTGCATGCTCACACATGTATATCATGTAAGTATTACACACATACAAGTGCACACCACACACAATGCACTGCACACATTCTCACACATGCAAACTTACATAAGGGTACCACACACTCGCGTTTTTCTGAATTGTAAGAGTAGACCACAGGCATCATGGCAGCACACATGTAAATGCTTCATTGCACCTGTGAGTGACTGTAACTGGTGGGAAAGCCACCTTGTTGCAATCATACCAGGGCTTAGGCAGTTCCCACCAAATCTCCCCAGCTGCTACACACTTTTGTGGTGCTTCACCATACAAAGCAACTCAGATATAAAATTATTTTTCTCTTTACTGTTCTGAAGAGTTTCTTCTCTCCTGTGCTTTTTCTCCATTTCTGTCAGATCATAGCTATTTCTTGAACGTTATACAAATACTAGGAAATACTTTACCTAAATAATTTGGGGAATCTGATCTTAAAATTACAACTCTATTATTGAATGAATGAAAAGATAATGATGCAATCTCTCATTTCATATTTACATTTTGTAAAGCAAGTGTTAAGCTAAGAATCTTACAGAGCACATGCATGAGTCGTGAGAAAGTCAAAACTTGAGAAGGCAGTGACACTCACTGCCTGCCTGGTGCTGCCTAGGGATCCTGGTGAGAGAAGCTCTCCTCCCTTCCATTGCTCTTCTGCCCCTCCCCCGCACCCCCTTCCTGGCTCCTCCCTTCTTTCCCCAATGCAAATGGAGGAACCAGTAGGGCTGAGGCTCAGACTATGCTCCCTGAAGAGCAAAGGCTGGGGAACAGCAGGCTCCAGGCCTCCCTCCCACCACTAGCTCTCCCTCTGATTCTTATCACTTCAGTCAATAATCAACATGAGATGGGACCCTGCAGACAGGAGGGGGCTGACCTTGGTAATGATACTTAGTTCCGGAATCTGGGTGCCTTTCCTACCTGACACCCAGGGCCTGTGAGGACAAGTCAGTCAACTTATTTGAAAACCCTCTTTTACATTTCTTTTAAACTTCAAATTTTTTCAACAAGAAATAGCTTTACATTATTCAAAAAAAAATAAAACCAAATGCATAAATAAAGAAAAACAGTGATATTTTTCTCTCAATCCTGCCACTTTGCTGTCACAAGCAGACATTTTGATCAGCTTCTTATCTGTTCTTCTGGAGTTTTTATGCAAATACAAACAAATATTCATGTGCACAGGAGCATTCTGTCTTACTTCTCTTCTGACTCTTAGGATTTTGTTAACACAACATCCTTAAACCTCTGCAGCGGGCATGGAGTGCCAGTTGGTCTCTGCACAGCTGCACGGCAAGGGGGGGGCCCTCTGACCAGAGCAGCATAAAGCACGAGCCAGATGCCGGCCAGAGAGCTGCTGCCTCGGTCTTCTGCAGCCGAGCAAGCTGTCTTGGTTCCCTGTGAGTAACAAGGAAGATGATGGCAGTTTAGAGAGCTTGAGCCAGGGGCTGGCACTGTGGTATAGAAGGTTAAGCCACTTCCTGCGATTTCAGTATCCAATATGGGCACCAGTTTGATTCCTGGCTGTTCCACTTCTGATCCAGCTCCTTGCTCGTGGCCTGACAAAGCAGCAACAAAGGGCCCAAGGGCTTGGGAGACCTGGAAGAAGCTCCTGGCTCCAGTCTGACCCAGCTCCAGCCACTGGGTGGTCAACCATTGATGAAGACTGACTCCCTAACTCCACCTTTCAAATAAAATAAATACATCTTTATAAAAAAATATCTGGAGCAGTCTCTCTCCTGTGCATGGCTGTGTGGGGTCCTCCACGAGCCTTCAGTGTAGAAATCCACCCCTGCCCCCACAAACAGAGAGAGTGAAGGAGCTGAGGCTCCCACAGGTTGCAGACACACACAGCAGCTTTGTACTGTTGTGAGGCAGGGCTGCGGCCCCAGTGCCCCTGCCTGGCTCCCCACACTGTGCCCGAGGCCTGTGCAGTTCCCTCCCCTCCTGCATCTCACACATTCCTGGCCCTGTTGAGACCCCGGTGGCTTCCCCTGCTCTCTCCCCAGCGTTTCTTCCACCCTTCAGCTTGGTCTCCTCCAGTCCAAGTCTCACCAGCCTTTGCAAGAGGAAAACCTGCCCCTCTCTTCCTTGCTTGAACTCATCCCTGACCCTCTGACTGGAGAACTAAAGCTACACTAAGCAGCAGCCCTACCCACTGCCTTCCACCAGTACCCAAGGGCCCTCTGCTTGCCAGCACCCCTGAGCCTGCGTCTGCCTCAGGGGGACTCTCTGTGACCTATGACCCTCCCTGTTTCCCAGGGCACTGTGTTCTCTCACCCCTGAACACTTTGTGCTTTGCACCATTGCAAACACTGCTGTCACAGCGCTTTCTGCAGTGTGGTTAGCTATCCATGTGTTTTATATTTCACATTTGTTTGGTGTAATTTTGCTCCCAGTAAGTGACCCACCCCGAAGAGCTTCTTGGCAGACTTTTCATTCCTTTTTGGCATCCATAGTGCCTAGAATGCAGCAATTGACTCAAGAATACGTTGCCTAACAGAATTTGGAACACTACACTTAATGATACACTGTCATTTTAAAAACAATTATTTTATTTACATGCAGTAACATCCCTCCCTTTACTTGTTCCCATAAGAGGAAAACCAGATCCCTCAAGAAAACAGGTGCCCTCAAATCTGCGGGGACTGTTGAGCAAAGGTGCAGGAGGCTGGCCTCACGCAGGCCACAGAGGCTGAGCAAGCAAGGGGGGTGGACGCTGAGGCGGCTCCAGGGAGAAGGGCCTGGGGATTTTCTCTACTCTGGAAGGCTTTCTGCAGCTTCTGTCTAAGCCGATATGCCAATGTTCAATAAAATGCTGTGTGCCGAGCACTGTGTCTGAGAACTACCTTGGGCTCTCCTGGGTGGTTTGAAGGTACTGAACTTTGAAAGTACAGCGAGTTATACGACCCCTTCCAGAAGTGACGGTGGAGATGAAGCGTGAACACAGGTCTTTACCTTAGGTTGACAGACTCAGGCCCGCACCAGATGCTCTTGCTGATCGTGTGAATAAAGCGTCATCGGAACACACCATGTTCTCACTGTTGTCTGGGGTTTGCTTCACACAACAATGGTGGCAGTGGGGATAGTGCCTGCCCTTACCGCTGCAACAGCGCAGATTTCCCAATGGCCGTGGGCTGACTGCATTGTCTCTGGTCGTCAGGGCCATGGCACCAGTCCCTGCTGAGACAGCAGTGCACTCCCACGTGAACTCATTCACAGCATCTGACTTCATCACCTGTGGGTTATGTACTCCTGCCAGACACACACTGGTTACCCTCTGGGGGTCAAGTACCAACCTTCAAAGCATGGGAGAAGGCAAGGAGAGTTCCAGAATCAGGAGTGGAGACTGGAGCCTCTGCCCTCTGTGTGGCCGCCTGGTGTGGACCTTCACTTCCGGCTGCCAAAGCCCCAGTGGGGAGCTCACCTGGTGGCGAGAAGATGGAAGGCAACGGCCGTGCAGGTGTGGGCCTGCCCTGCATCTCGCTGTGCTAACTGACTGCAGCCCTGGCGATCCTCTCACGCCCAGCCCCTGCCACAGTGGCCCTGACAGGGTGGGGGTGCACGACTGGTCAAGAGCTTCACACGGGCAGAGAGGGGGTCCTGCTAGAACCTTCAGATCCTCCTCCGCCTTGAACAAGAGCAACCTGGTCTGCCAGAATGTCGGCTGAGAAGCCTGCGCAGCGCCAAGACTGAGAGCGTCCACGGCTGTGTCACTGGTCAGTTCAGTCAGCAGTGAGCTCACATTAGATGCTTCTCATTTACCCACACTGATCATCTTCACCTAATGCAGACGCATACTTGGATGCCGGAAACGCCGATTCGACACAGCTGCTTCAGAAACTAGATCCACATGAAGTGCCAGTGGACACCCATGTACTGGAAACTCCGTGAGGCAAGACCATGCAAAGCCCCTGCCTCTCCAAACCCTGAGCAGACTTTAGAGCCAAGTGTGAACCAACACACAAGGTAAATAGGGTCTTCTTTGACCCCCAGGGAGATGTAGGACTGAGCATAATCCTGGCCAACGAGTACGGTGTGTTTCTTCAGGGAAAGTTACTGGGTGTATGTGAGAAAATAACGAGAACAACCGTGACCTATGACAGTCATTCACAGAGCTCCTTAGGAATGCGGCACCCACAAGGCCACAGCACATGGGCGGCAATCCCAGCCCCTACTTCCCATGGCGTGGTGAGCAGTTTCACCATCAGACAGGCAAACGGGAAAGTCAGTAAACAAATAAGCTGCCATCGCAAGGTGAACCTTAACACATGTGGTCCCCCCACAGAGGATCCCGGCCACCGCAGTCCCTCTAGCACGGCCTGCTTCTCTCCAGCAGGGGGAGGTGCGCATGGGGCGCTCCTGCACGTGGACATGCAACGGGGACACCGAGCTCCTGGAGCCCGTCTCCTGCCCACGCTCAGAGCTGAGCTTCACAAGATCTTGGGTTTTAGCAGCATCACAGTCCAGTCAGCCTCCAGCTCTAGACAGCGACCACGCGGTGGGTGCCAGTGCTCGCTCAGCCTCGCCCTCGAAACCAGAATTCTTAAACCGCCAACACATTGCCTCTGGTGCAAGAGTGTGATGACCACAGGGAGGTGCCTCCCTTAAGGGCCCTGGGGCTACCGCCCCACCACTGGCATTCCAACGGCTCCCCACAACCACCCGTGGGCGCACACTGCCCTCCCACCCATATAATCTTAGTAGCGAGAGCAATATCCACTTCGCCCAATCTCACTGCAAATGTCTGCTTTCAGCAGGAATGTCCGTCTGGAGAACTTGCTGCTTCCTGGGGCCAGGAACCACCAGGAGCTGGCACGACAGCAGTTACTCAGGGCAGCAATCACACAGCAAGGGCGAGCCACTGGGTCCAACCCCAGGTGTCCTGGAGGCAGGTGTACCTGAGCTCATCCGCCGCCTCCGGGCTGTTCCCCAGACCCGCCGCTGCTCCCTCCGTGCACCAGGGATCCAGGAGCTCACCAGCTCTCCTTGGAGTTCATTTTCTGAAAGAGAGTATGGACAGAAGACATGCATGACTGACAGGCTCCCCCTGGCATCGCGGCGGCACCAACAATGCTATGTTCAAAGACAGGTGCTGCACAGGAAGATGTGCCGATTTTACTCAGAACCTGGGCGGGAAACCTCCTTGCCGAGAAGAAACTGCTGTCATTTAACTTGAAGCTTAAGACATTTAATAATCTTAAATGTGCATCTAGGTTTGAAGGCACAACCAGGCACACTTAATATTTATCCTGGGCAGTGACCAGCCGGTTTATTAAAATGTTGCTTTCTTCAACACTTTGATGGGATGCAGGAACAACTCAGGAAGTAAGAAATATTTTAGTTGTTTATTTTTCTGAAGTCACGTGATTTCATTCATAACAAAATATAACCTAAGGACAAGGGCACTTTCAACCGTCAGCTCAATTTTATTTTAGTAGAACAACAACAGAAATCATCTTCCTTCACGGAAACGTAGAATTCAAGTTCACGTCAAGCTTTGCTGCAAGACTGTCTAAGTATTAAGAACTGACTTCTGGCCACACCGCAGCTCACTAGGCTAATCCTCCGCCTGGGGCGCTGGCACACCGGGTTCTAGTCCCAGTAGGGCGCCAGATTCTGTCCCGGTTGCCCCTCTTCCAGGCCAGCTCTCTGCTGTGGCCCGGGAGTGCAGTGGAGGATGGCCCAAGTGCTTGGGCCCTGCACCCCATGGGAGACCAGGAGAAGCACCTGGCTCCTGGCTTTCGATCAGCGCAACGCGCCGGCCGCGGCGGCCATTGGAGGGTGAAGCAACGGCAAAGGAAGACCTTTCTGTCTCTCACTGTCCACTCAGCCTGTCAAAAAAAACAAAACAAAAAAAAACCTGACTTCTATTGGGCAGTGTTCGTGTTACTTCAAAGTGCTAAGACCAGCATGCGCCGGGAAGAGCCAGGTGCCTTGTGGGAGCTATTGTTCCCGGCGCAAGCCTCCATTCTGAGGCCTCATTAGAGGCTCCGGGCAGTGAAGTGTGTCAGCCAGGAGACCCTCAGGGGCGCGCCCGCCGGCTGCCCTAAATCCCCTCCAAGACGCCGAGCCGGCCTCTCGCCTGTGAAGAAAGGATTCGCAGCGGGAGCCCCACAGGCGGAGGGCGCAGGGCGCAGGCGCAGAGAAGCCCGTGGGTTCCCAACGGAGGCAAGAGGCAGGCGGAGGCCGCGGCCTGGCGTGGCCGCCTCACGGGTCTGCGCGGGTGACCCTAACCCACATTTTTCACAATTAAAAGCAAACACCAAAGCCCCGTTCCTGTCGCCCCCTCCTCATCACCTCAGGGCTTGGCCAGGGAGCCCCGGAACCGCCCACGATGGCGGTTTCCACAGCCAAGGAAACCCAGCGGCTCCTGCACGGCCGCGAAGCCTCTCAGTAAAAGCGCAGCGTGGGCGTTTCCACGGGAGCTGTTCCGGGTCGGCGTCTAGACCCATCGGTCTGGGGTTACGTCACAGCACCTCAAGTACACCCAGCTCTCAATACAAAGGACAACGTGGACTTCCACAGCGCCCCACACAAGCGCACGACGCCCGCGCTCTCGTCCACACACCTGATCCGCACCCACGTGCCAGGCGGCCAAGGCTGACGCCCCATTCCCGTCAGCGCACCCCCGGGGACCCCCTGTCTCGGAGGGCGCGCGCAACCGGCGGCGACGTCTCCTCGTGCACACCCCCGTGATGGAGTCCAGCGCCTGAGTCCTCGTGGTACCGAGGAGCACCCACGTGCGCAGGTGAGTCCTCGCGAGACATCACGAGACCACGGAAGGCCCACCTGCGCAGGTGAGTCCTCGCGAGGAATCATGGGACCGCGGTGGACCCGCGTGCGCACATGCAGCCTCGCGAGGCCTCATGAGACCCAGGAGGGCCCGCATGCGCAGGTGAAGCCTCGCGAGGCCTCACGGGACCGCGTGCGCAAATTCTTCCTCCGGTCCCCGCCGCCATTCCGCGCAGACTCCGAAGAGGGTGCGCGCGCCGCTAGCTCGCAGAGCGTCCTGTTTCGCCTTCTGGCCCGCGGCCGCGCTGTCTGCGGTTGTCCTCAGGCGGGCGGCGTGTGAACCTGGTGTTGCTGATTCTGAACAATGGCGGGGATTGAACATAGTTGTTCTTTCCGTCGCTGTGTGGCGGCCAGGGCTGGTGAGCCGCCTGCGTCCCCGCCTGACCCCTGAAGCGGCCCTTTCCCGGGCCCTGGGCTGCTGGGAGCGTCGGCCGCCGCTGCCACTGAGGCTGGGCACGGCCGCCCGTGGCAGAAGGACGCCTGCGCCCGAAGCCCCGGGGCTCTGAGCGCCTTCCCGGCGGGGCGGGCCTTGCATTGGCGTTCACCGCTGCCTCTTAGGGCAAATGCGGTGCGGCTTCCAGGGGCAAGGGGCTGCTCCCCTCGTTGGTGTCCTCCCCAGCGGTCTCGCGTAGGATGTCAGACGTGCAGTGCTGGCGCTGCTCAGACTGAGAACGCTGGGCAGTAGGAGCCTGAGGGCCCTGTGCCGAGAGCGGGGGCACCTGTCTCAGTGAACAGCTCCCAGAGGGACCCGGGGGTCGAACCCGGGACTCCCGCACGGAGGACCTGCTGCGAGGCTGTGGACCGGAAGACGGCCCTTCGCGAGCCCCGTGGGCTGCGCGGTCCGACGGGATCCCAGCAGCGCCCCGCAGCCCTGGCCGTGGCGGGCGCGGCACCTCTGCTCGCCCCTTCCTGTTGCCTGGGTGCAGGGGGGCTGGCTGCCCGGGACTGGCCGGCAGGAACACACCGCGTGCCCTGTGCTACCTGCACGAGCTCCCCCCGACCCCAGGAAGGGCTGCGTTCCCATCGGCGCCAAGGAAGCCACCCCTGGCACACACTCTTCGCCTCGGGATGTGCTCGCGAGCGGTGACTCCGCTTCCGGGTGCCGAGGACATGTAGAACCTGCCACGTCCTCTTCTCAGAGGACGGAGATAATGGTCATTTGCAGAAACATGACAGTATAAATGAGGAGGAGAAATGTGTATCAAACAACTCGAAGCGGTCATCCTAAGGAGAACAGGAAAGCAGGGGAATGGTTGAAAGTTAAATCGCCCTTTCCATGTGTGCAGCTTCACACCTCCTGCGTGGGTTCTAAGGTCCACCAATTTCATATCTGCGGTGACGGTATTTGGGGTGCTGGGATGTATCTGCAATTAAGAGGTTCACGCCTACTTCCCATGCTTGAATTGACCAATTTCTGTGTTTCTCACAGTTTATCAACATTCAGAATATAAATTTATTTGTAAGCAGATTCCAGCCTGTTAATTAGCAACGTGGACGAACAGCCGTGAACGTGGGCTGTAGTGAGCTGCCCAAAGGTGAAGACAAGGCCTGAGTCCTCTACCCTGTGCCTGGAGGGGCCATAAGCTTGGGCCTGCCTCTGATGCCGCCATTGCACTGACCCTGGGAAGGAACTCTCTCTGGTCTGGGGCTGGTGTGGTTCTCTGCCCTGGGTGCGGTGACAGACTGGCAGACAGGGCTCTGCTGCTTTCGTGCACAGTGAATGGAGCTCCCTTGTCTGGAACCTGGCAGTGTGGATGAGGACTTCAGCTGGGAATCGACACCCAGTAATTCCAGTTTTTGTCATAGTCCATGTTGTCTGCCTCACACGTGTGTGCAGATGGATGTATGAGACTTCCCAGTGCACTGTTATGTGCAATCAAGTATCGTCCATGGTGGAGAGATTGATCAGTAAGGATCTGGTATTGGTCCGTGTGTGGTGACAAAGCAAGGTCATCAGGAGCAGACAGAAAAGTGGGGGTAGAGCTGTGCAGAGCCTGCACAGGGAAGCCCCATCCATGCACCACGCACAAGGAGGACCTGGCAGTCCCTCTCGCAGCGTCACGTGTCCATGCCTGACTCCACACTGCGATGCTTAGGACACCAGCCCCACAGCTCTTGGATTATTTTTGGATAAAGAAGTAAGACTGATGATTAAGAAGGACTTTCATTATTTACCTTAAAATTTTCTAGTTGTTTCAAACAATGTCAGGAGAAATCCATGTAACACTTATGTAACAAACTGAAAAATAAGGTAAATTTTAGATGTGTAACTATTTTTAAACGTATGTGTGAATTAGTGTAAAGACCAATCAAGATTTAGATTAAAAATTTATACTTCCAAAGTCACAAATTTAAGAAATTTGAACTTCCGTCTCCACCTCCGACTCCCATCCACTGCTTCACATTGTAGTTTATGTGGGTCTTGGGACTTGCTGACTGGTTACACACTAACAAATTACGTTAAGGATAAATTATATTTAGGTCCAATTGGATCATTCTAGCTCATTAAAAAAGTTCTTCTAGTTTAAGAATGGCAATTAGAAATGGAGGCACTTGAAACAGCGATCAGTGTTGTGTCACAGCACAGCGCCACCTCTGCCCATGCTCCCTCCCAGCCTGGGCGGCACATGGGGGCTGTGTGCATGGACCTCTGGCTCTACTCCCAGTAATGGAAGTTTGGGAAGCTGCAGGCCTGTGGACACTCAAGTAGAGAGTGTCACCTGAGGCACAGTCCCAAGAATGAACATGTGGTAGGTGGTGGGGACGTGTGGCTGCTGGGATCAGCGAGTGTTGGAGCTGAAGCCGTCTTGATGGGTGTGTAACCAGGCGTGCCAGGAACATTACAGAGGGAAGCCCAGGGCGAGGTTTCCGGTGTGCTTTCTCCACCCCCTCTTCTCTGTGTGTGTAGAAAGAGGAATGTAAGAAGTAATTGCAGTTAACTCTCTTGATGATCCAAGCTTTAGTCTCCAGAGCACAGGGACAGGTCAAGCACAGGGGCTAGTGTTAGCCAAAGACAGCACTTGGGGATCCGTAATTCCATCCCACAGGCAATGTTTGGTCTGGTAGCCCTGGGTGTATGATGCTCAGGTACTGGGGAGAAATCTTCACTACACACCCCTAGCCAGCAGCTATAGGCCAGCTATCTGGCCCTGAGTGGGCTCCTCTGTCCCTAGCCTCTGGCTCAGCGGCACTGCTGCTGAAGAGGAGT